TGCAGTTAGCCTCGCTGCATGCAGTTAGCCGCCCTGCACGCAGTTAGCCTCGCTGCACACAATTAGCCTCGCTGCAAGCAGTTAGCCTAGCCTTGGAGCTAAATAATTCTATAAACCTGTCAATCAGCTGCACTTCCTATCAGAGGATTGTGATGTCAGCGCTGTGGAGGGAGGTGGGGAGCAAATAAAGCTATCAGCTAATGAAGCGTGGTCTGCGCTGTTATTCAACGTCACTAGCTAGGATTGTGGGCGTCCATGTGTCGGTTTGACAAGCTTATTCGCCGTCTACAACCCCTCATCCAACGCTGGACGACGCACAGTTCACCAGTGGGTAGTGTTGCACCGATACCGATACCAGTATCTGGTGGGGCTCCGATCCAGCTCTATAATGGTGGTATCGGTATCTGCGAGTACAAACCAATAGGACATCGATACCATTTTGAGATCCAAAAGTTTCTTCAACTATTGTCACCCATTCCAGGTAGGCAATAAAAAGTTCTACTGGATTCTCTTTGTTTTAGTCTTTGCTTCACAAAGGAAGGCAGCAGCATGAAGCCATGATGGAAATTATTTTACATCCAAGCAGGATGCAGTTCTTCATATACACACATCAATTTCAATCAGATGGTATCTTTATGGTATCGGTTGATTCTGCACAGCCAGTATCGGTATCGGGGCCAAAAGATGGCATCGGCGCAACACTACCTACTGGCCATGGCGCTGCGTGTTTTGGCTTCAGGTGCAAACCAACAGAGCGTCGCTCAGAGCTACAAACTAGCGTCCCGAACAATGTCTGGAATAGAGTCTGAGGTGAGCCAGGCCGGACGGCGCTACAGCCAGAGTCTCTGCCATTAGGGACCAAACAGGAAATACGCATAATGTAGAGCGGAGAAGAACTGACCAATCAGAGGCCTCCTGTCTGCGGTCACCTATAATGTTGGGGAGATGCACTAGAGTGTCTGCGTGAAGGGGTGGGGGGGCATTAAGGTAAAGTAGATAGGAAACTGAATCAGATGTCTGATTTAACGTCTCGGTTTGTCTTCCTTCAGGTGGATCCCGATCAGTTCCTGTCTGTGTGTAAGCGGAGCTCCTCCAAAGCCCCCTGCAGGTTAGCGGCGGCGTTCGTTCATCTCTGCCAGGAAAACTACATTCCTCTGGAGATCCCAGGCCCGTGCCGTACGTACGCTAACTGATGGTAGATTTATACACGCGTGCGGAAATGAATCAGACTTTTTCTCTTTTGTTTCAGTGGAGACCTGAAGAACCCGACTGAAGGAGGATAATCTGCAACCTTCTGTATAGGAAAAATACATTTTATTTTATATTCAATTCAAAGTATTTTAATGTGCTGGTATATTTTATATGATGATTTTAACCAATATTGGAGAATAAAAGCATTTTGTCTTTTTTGAGTCNTTAACCAATATTGGAGAATAAAAGCATTTTGTCTTTTTTGAGTCAGTGTAATTTAACCCTTTATTGGACACTCAGTGAAATACATCATAATCTTAGAGGCATTAATGCTGATACTGCCGCTGACATGTTTTAGTTTATACACATACATGTAATTATTAAGTAGGCTTATTAACTGTTTAACTTTACTTTTTAATTAACTTTTCACCTTTTTTTCTTCACTTTTAAACCTTTTTTCCAACTTAATTTCCAGTAGGTAATCTATCATTCAAGGTTCATCTAATTGGTCAAATGTTAAAATCTGATGTGCAGCCATGCAGCAGGATCTTTGCTGAATGGCTGGATGTAGATCTTGTTCTTGTAGATCTCGCTGAAGGACGGGGGGACTCCATTTGGAAGGCAATAAAGGCATAAAGGGTTAATTGCTCCCATTTCCTTGTGATGAAGGAAGTGTTGCTCATTGCTTTAGAGAGCAGCTCTACAGTGATGGTGTCATTTTTATGCAATAGTTGTGGAGCACAGCACCTAACCTAACCCTACTAAATGTGTCAAATGCTAAAAAAAACAAACAAATAAAGACAAAGAGGACAGAGATAAAACGGATTGACAGCTATGCCGTTTCTAAAGGCCAGAACAAAATTAACTTTTTGTCCGATCAGACAGAAATTGCTTCTTAAAGGTGGCGGCGTTTAGCGCTAATTGAAAGTCAACGCAGAGGATTTCCTGCAGGGGGCAGCGTAGCTCAGACTGAGATAAAGCCCAGATCTATTTTAGTCGGACTACGCAGCAATTCAGCAGCAATTTCATGGGTCTGACGGGAAGAGAGACGCAGTTACAAAGTGAAACATCCGCTTTGGAGGAAAATATTAAATAAAATCTGTTCATCTGACGGGAATAGAGTCAATTTGGAGTCACGCATCGCGTTTATAGTGAGCAGGACAGACTGGAGCAAAAACAATGAATGAAACATTAAAATAGAAACTTTCCCCATGATGGGAGATCAGGACAGAAACGGATAAAGCAGAGATCCTCCAGAATCCGGAGGAGCAGACGGAGCAGCGTATCTCTCACCTCTTTATGGAAACAAGAACGAAAAACTGTGATAAACTTCCCAGATCTCTCTGAGAATCGCCTCTCTGTCACCATGGAAACCGTCCCACAGACTTTATCGCTGCGTTTCTGTTCTTTAGGCGTAGATCTTATCATGTTTTTAATAGATTAACATTCTCTATCTGTTCTGGTTCTAGATGCTGCACAGACTCATTAAGTAGAGCTTTGCTTTATAGAATGAAGCTCTGGTTTTTATTTTTCATAACTTTTCATAATCTGTCCAAGTCAAGTGGGGGAAATTGTTTTACTGTGTTTATAGCACAGAGGCAGGTAAAAAAGAATCTGGTTAGATCTGCTCATCCTGCCTAGTCGGAGCCTCTCTATACGCAGACAGTGGGACATGGAAAAAAATTGGATCGGACTTTAAAAAGTCGCAGTAACCGGTGTGTTCAGGGCTTAGGACTAAATCCGGAGTAAGAACTAAAACCAACACATAAAAGAACAAGTAAACTATGTCCATCCATCCATCCATATGTGTCACCTGCTGGGGTGGCGAGGGGCGCTGCTGTCCATCTCCAGCTGTCTATGGGTGAGAGGCGAAGTCCACCCTGG